ATATATATAGAGCTATAGATACGGCCTTCTATAATAGTTAAGTACTTTAGAGTAAAATATAAAAAGAAGAAGAATATTATTAGGACTAATACTAGAATAGACTTAACTAGACTACTATAGTCTAGTATAGTCTCGTAATAGATAGATCTAGATTAAGTTAGCTAGATTAAGTAAGGGTACTATATAAGTAGACTATATATACTTAATTCCTACTCTTTAGAAATTAACCTTATTATAAGAGTAGACTACCCTTTTAAATATATTTCTAAACCCTTCTATAACCTATTAGTCTACTCTTCTACGTCTATAATTCTTATATAAGTTTAGTATATATAAATATTAAAGTAGCTATAATAATTTAATCTATATAGATTAGATATTACTATACTATATCTATAAATAGTATACTATATTAAGTAGTACTTACTAGACTTAAGTTCTTTATATATAGTAGTATTAAAGATATAGAAAGTCTAAGATATCTTATAGTATCTAGACGAATACTATTTACTTATATACTACTATTAAATAGTACTATACTTATTATTTACTTAGGGCTAACTTCTATAGAATAATATAGGTATTTAGCTACTAGTCTTATAATCCCCTTCTTAAGCTAATTAATATCTTACTATATAATAGCTAACCTAGTAATATAAAGAGGCGTTAATATATTAAGTTTATTTATCTTAGAAGCTATAGTATAGTTATTTTATTCTTTCTTTTTAGCCCTCTCTTCTTATATCTTATAGATCTCTCTAGCTATAAAGTTAGAGATACCTTTCTTAAATACTATATAATATAAGTTACTATTAAGGCTTAGTAGTTTACTAATAGTAATATTTATAGTTATTCTAAGAATATATACTAGCTATACTTTACTAGCTTCTATATCTAGTTATTACCTCTTATATAGATAGTTATTAAGCTTAACTTCTTAAACACGTAACTTTTAACTAGAGTTTAGGTTGTCTTCTTTATCTATCTTATCTCTAAGTATTATTAGCTTCTATCTAGATATCTCTTAATTACTATTCTTTTTACTATCTTTTTATTCTTTAATAACTCTTATATATTATTCTTTATATATCCCTTAGAGGTAAGCTATTTTTCTCTTCTTAGTATAATTAGATATATTCTTTATAATCTCTTATTCTAAGATTATAAGTACTATAGATTCTATAGAGGCTATCTCTTTATAAATATATCTATTACTAGCTATATTAAAGTACTTATAGAACTCTATATATCTATTCTTCTTACCCCTAGATAGTATAATTTCTTCTTCTAAGTTACTATCTACTAAAGCCTTATAGTAGCTTATTACCGTTTTAGTACTAATACTATATACTAGTATTCTCTATAAAGTATTAATATTTACTATGGATATAGAGACCTTTACTCTCTCTCTATACTAATCTAAGCTATTCTAAACTATTACTATATAGTTTCGAATTACTTATAGAGTAGTCTAAGAGCTAGCTAAAGAAGATAGTAGTAGAATTTCCTTACTATTTATTCTAAAGTGTTCTTTAAATACTTATACTCTTTTAATATTTAGTAGTCTATTCTTAATATATTCTATTATTTCTAGATATCTATATATTAGGTAATCCTCTCTATATGTAATATAAATAATTAGTCTCTAGAGTCTATTCTAAATTATAGTAGAGTTCTAGATACTTAGAGTAGAGATATACTCTCTCTTCTAGATATAGTTTTATAGATAAACTTAAGCTAATTCTATAGATATAATGTTAGGCACGTATAATAAACCTTCTCTAATAAGGATGCGGCTTATCCCTAAAGTAGTCCGTTCTATAGAGTATCCTAGCTTTCCTAAAGATAAAGGTACTTAGAAGGCTTAGAGGAGTATAAGTAGGTTTATAGTAAGTATTAATAGGGTATAAATAGTAACTAGCTAGTAGGCGAGTAAAGTAGTAATTATATCGGTATAAGTTTAAATTAATTACTATAGAACTATCTCTAGAGATTAGGTCTAAAGGGTCTATATAGTTCTACTAAGATCCTCTAATTAGAATGCTTATTCTAAGCGTTTAGTACGTTACTTAGAATACTAATATTCTATTTCTAATTACCTAGTAGACTACTTAGAATATCTATTCTAAGTATCTATAATTAGCTCTCCCTATAGGTATCTATCTTAGCCTTAGATTACTATCTAAGGCTACCTATCGTATTATAGGTACCTCTTCTACGTGCTATACTATTTCTTACGTTACTCGTACTAGAGTCTACGTATCCCCCTATGGCTCTAGCTAGTAATTTATTATAGTACGTAAGGAGTACGTGGCCTACTAGTTAATTCTACACGTATATAGTAGTTGTATATAAGTAGTATACTCCACCCTTAAAGTAGTAGCTTTAAGATTCGGTCCTTTTAGTATAGTTAGTTAGTACGTAGAGCCCGCCTTCTTATATATAACTTATACTTAAAGGTATACTAAAAGGTTAAGTCTTTATATCTATTAGTTAATAATAGCCGAAAGTAATTCTAGTTTATACTTTCTAAGAGATAGAAATATAGAATTAGAAGTAAAGTAAGACTTTATCTTAATTAATATAAGGTCTAGTTTACTAAATCTCTCTACTATCTTATTAAACTTATCTAATTCTAGTATAATATAAGTCTTAACTATAGAGTAGTTATTAAACTTATTATTCTACCGTTCTCTATATAATTATTCTTCTAAGTTAGTCTTCTTTCCTTCTATCTTTAACTTTTAGTATATAGCTATAGCTAGTTCTTATATAGCTAAGTACTTATTAATCTAAGCTAGTTTCTTAATTACCCTAGCTTTTTATAATATAAAACTATAAATAATTATCTAGTTATAGCTATATATATCTATTATAAGCTAATATTTCTCTATATTTTATACTTTAAGACTATTAGATAGGCCTTTAAGAAAGAGTTCTATTTATAAATATAGACTTAGGCTTCCTTTAGTAGTAAGTTTCTCTATAATAATATAATACTATAATAATATATAGAGAGAGAGTATAAATAGTCTATCTTAACTATTTCTATATATTTCTATATAAAGTAGATGGTTTCCTTCTTAAGTACTAAGTTAAATAGAGAGAATTTCTTAAGTAACTCTTTACGTAATATAGTCTACTATTACTTTTAAAAACTAACTATTTCTTTAATAGTAGGTTAGAGATAGTCTTTATAGTATAATAGTAGAGATATTATTTTCTTATCTAGTAGAATCTTATAGTTAGTATATATATCTTTATACTTCTAAAGAAAGGTTATAATATTTATTTCTTTAAAGTAATCTAGAGCTAGTATAGATAGAGAGACTACTCTCTCTTATTATATAAATACTATAAAGAAGTTAAGTATCTCTCTATAAGTTACTAGGTCCTTACTCTAAGTTCTAGTTATACTATTACTAATAGTAGATATACTAATAGAGACGCTAGGGGTAAGATTACTAGTTAAGAGATTATTTTAACTAAGAGTTAATCTAATATATCTACCCGCGATACCTACTATTCCTTTATTATATTAACTAGTCCTCTTATAAGGCGAGTTATTACTATTATCTTTCTTAATATAAGATTTATAATACTATACTTATATTAATATTTCTATATAAGGTATTTCTAGAGTAGTATATTTATAGACCTTTATTTATAAGTAGTAGCTATAGTAATACTAGAAGAGCTATACTATTTACTTCTAAGGGTTCTATTATTATTATTCTTATTACTCTATTTAGTCTCTTTTTATATTCTATTTCTATAAAGTTCTTTTAAGTTATATTATTATATAAGCTAGTATATATATACTTTTAGTAGTAATTTCTAAGAGGCTAGCTCCTAGTAATTCTAGAATTTTTAGCTTCTAGACTTATAGCTTTAATCTAGTAGATCTAGATTACCTTAGTAGTTACTTAACGTATCTTCTCTATATTAGTTTAGAAGTTCTAATCTCTTACTATAAGTTTAAAGTCTAGATATAATCTTTAAAATTATAGTAAGCTATTCTTTAGTATATCTCTTTAAAGAAAGAGATTTACTTCTTAATAAGATAGATATAATAAAGTTATATCTATCTTCTCTATATACTATAAGTACTCTTTAATCTTTATAACTACTTATTAGTTCTCTTATATAATAGAACGGGTCTATATAATACTTATAATTAATTCTTTAATAACTATATCTATTAATTAATACCTACGGAAGTCTATAAACGTAAAGAAAAGCTAGAAATAGTTAAGTATTAGTAATAGAGAGTACCCTTCTTCTCTAAATAAGTAGAGAAATACCTTTCTTAAGTATATAAATATACTATATAATTAAGCTAGAGATATATACTTATAGAGCTATAGATGCGGCCTTCTATAATATATAATAGTTATATATAAGTAGTATACTCTACCCTTAAAGTAGTAGCTTTAAGATTTAGTCCTTTTAGTATAGTTATTTAGTACATAGAGTCCGTTTTCTAATACTAATCTTTTTCTATATATACTCTTTAATTACTACTAAAGGGGCTTAGTAGTAATTTATTCTATAATAGAATATACTCTATTATTCTATCTAGCTATACTATTATTTATTTACTCTATTCTTATAGTAATAGCTTTAAGATCTATATCTCTTTATATAGTAGTTAGTATATAGAATTATAATTCTTATAATAGTTTACTACTATATATTAGTTAAGTATAATAGATACTTTTATATAAGAGTTATAAAGTAGTCTATAATCTAGATTAAGTATATAATAGATAACTATATATCTATAGAAAGAGATTAAGATATAGTAATACTATAGAATATATATTATAGTACTAGATAATTAAAGAGAAAGAGTACTATAAGAAAGTAGATTTTACATTATATAATATATAATAGTAGACTATATTATATTAGTTCTATAATTTACTATACTATATATTATTATATTCTAATATCTTACTATTACTATTCAAATACTATGTGTTCTTAGTTATCTAAGTAGAAAAAACTTCTTTATGAAATTTCTTACTATCTCTATTTACTTCTTGATATTTATCTTATAGCTTCTATTATCTACTACTTTTTAAGTCTCGCGATACCTTTGGCGTACTAAGTTCCTCTGGGGATATCCCTTGGTCCCTTTAGGTAGTGGCTCTAGTGCGAGTAAGATGGAGCTTCGATGTATTTGTGCTGGTATAGAACAGATAGCATTCGCTTGCTCAATTGACGACCATATCTCGGCAATTAAAGCTTGAGTCTTGTCTGCTTCCTCAGGCCGCGGTCCTTGAGTTTGGCCTAAGCCCACAGGCTCTATAACGACGTGTAACACCCCCTCTTCACAGTCACAGATGACCGCAGCTGCAATACTAGGGTGTCTCTCTATCATATGTTCCATCTCATTAGGCATTAGAAGACTTGATCTCGACTTGATGGAGGCGATGTTTGGGCCAACACTGTTACTAGTCGGTGCCCGACAAATGATCACATCTTCCATTCGACCGACATATCTCCAATGATCGTCCTTCGCCGGATCAGGATGGCGGACAAAGATATCGTTGGTGTTCCACTCTTCGAAGCTAGGAAAGAGCTCGAAACCGATCTGGAACCCCCTTGCACCCACATCCCTTGGAAGAACAAGATGGTAATAATTGGATGAGGCTATAGGCCTCATTTGATGGGTGAAGGAAGAGTCCCATTTCATATATGCCCAGTCAGAGGAGACTGTGGTAAAGAGAGGATACATGCCTGTTTCTGTTGAGCCGTATAAGGGGTAGAGTTGGGTGTGAGTGCTTATAGCCTCTCCGGCATGATTTGGACATGCTGCACCAATATATCCGACGGAGTCAATCTTGCTTTTAATCAAAGCAAGCATACGTGAGCATTTAGCGATGTCCGGAAATATCTTGGGTGGTGCTATGACACAGGTCACGTTCGCGTAACATATAGTTTGCTCGAGCTTGTCAGCACTTAAAGGACCCGGGGCGGGTGGAAGAACGCTAGTGAAGTCGTACACGAAATTGAGTCCAAGGAGAAAGTATAACCCAGCTGCTGATGATACGGGACTAAGTAAAGCAACGCGCTTCCCTCGAAATCTTTCATAATTCAAATCATCCTTGTTGTTCACTGATAGAAAGGATTTTGCCATCCGTAGTAAATGTCTATGTGTCATCACAATCGCTTTTGGGTTTCCAGTGGTCCCAGACGAGTGAATGACAGTGAATGGGTCATTCGGATTGTTCCCTGTGCTCTTTGTGGATGCGAGAATCCCCAGTTGTTGTGGGAAATCCGTTGCAAACCAGAAATGCAATGGTGGAGCTGTGATAACGTTTATTTCGGACTTTATACTCGTTAAAGATTCGACAGCCATCCGTGCCTCTGGCATAAGGTTACTAGTCGAGACGAGGTACTGAGTTTCCATCGTGGTGCTGATGTATACTAGGGCCTCTGTTGTACATCTTGGATGACAGAACAACCCCTTCCCACACATCAGCGGGAGAGTGGACAAGTATGGTACTAACTTACCTTGAAACCAATCTTTGCCGAAGCCAGCATGAACACAATAACACTTAAATCCTGCGGTAGCATGTAGTGGATCGTCTCAAAACTCTCACTTTGATGACCAATCTCGCGTAGAAGCCATGAAGCTGCTTTGTCGATTGCGCTGGCTAGGTCTCTAAAGGTCACGTTTTTCCATCCACGGCTTGGGTTCTTCTCATCCTTTGGTATGGAGATAGCGACATGTTCAGGGTAGTTCCGAGCAATCACATCGAACAGGCGCGGAACCGTTGTGTCGTCGCCGAATTGATTATAGAGCGTGGATATAGACATAGTAGAATTGGCAGACATAAGTAGACTTGGTAGATATAGTAGATATTGTAGACTCGGTAGACTTCATAAGGATTTCTAGCATGATCTAATAGTTTCGGATAGAGTGGCCACGCTAGGGCTAAGGATAAGTAGGCTAGCTTAGGTTACAATTCAAACCACCTCATTTCCTAGGATATTCATAGGTAGATATGTAGGACGTAGCGTCTTAGTATCTTTAGAAATCTATTAAAAACTTTTCTAGTATAACTCTTCGTAAGTAAATCTACTATATAGTATCTCTAGATAGTCTCTAATTATCTACTAAACTATATTCTAATTAAATAACTTTAACTACTTCTATAGCTAGCTACTAGTAACTAACTTTTACTTATAAATATAGAGATAGACTCTTCTTATCTATATCTTTATAAACTTTAACTTTGGAAAAAAATTAAATATTATTAAGAATATCTTTATTAAGATTCTTATTATATAAGATAGTCTAAGATAATATTATATATATATCTAGTCTATTACTTATTAACTATTATCTATAATCTAGCTCTTTTAATACTTCTATTATATCTTATTCTTTTCTAGAGCTCTCTTTACTTATAAATTTAGATATATATATAAGAATATTTAAAAGTAGATATAATAGATACTAGTAATAGATATTAAGATATATTATAATTTCTTAGTATATAGAGAGTATTTAGAGTTCTTTATTATATAGAATAAAATAATTATATATTAACTCTATCTATCTATAACTTTATCTAATAATACTAGTATTAATACTCTATAAGATATTAGAAAATATTATATACTTTTATCTATATCTTAAGAATATTTATTAAGTATAAGATAGTAGACTCTATATACTAAATATCTATACTAAAAGAACTAAATCTTAAATCTACTACTTTAAGAGTAGAGTATACTAATTATAATAGACTAGATACTATATATAAAGATTATTTATAAATTATATATCTAATATTAAGTTCTTTTAAAGACTAAAGAGTCTTAAAGAGATAGATAGAGAAAATCTCTAATTTCTTACTATTTTTACTATCTACTTTAGTACTTTAGAAGTTACTTCTTCTATATCTTAGAGTTATAATTATAGAGCTTTTCTTAAAATAACTAATTAAATATATTCTTTTTCTCTTAATTTTTCTTATATAGAAAGTAAGATACTCTATAGAACTTAAAGTATACTTAGATATAATTAAAAAACTTCTTAGAGACTTAACTCTAGATTTATTAGAGGATATAAAAAGTTTTCAGAATAATAGAATATATGTGTATATGTTATACACGTAACACGCGCCAAGAGTTACGCTGAAAAAGTTATGGACGGATAGAAGAGCCACGCTAAACACGGATGTAGCGCCGAATGAAACAGTGGGCATCAGTCAAGGCCCTAAGGATACAATTGTATCGCACGTACTCCTCGAATGTCCGAATCGTCCGTAATGTCACGTCAGTGAACATCAGTTGTTAACCACGTCGAGTTAAGTGCAGTCATGGCTGCGCGAAAAGATGTCGTAAACAATAAACTAATGGACTGATATGACTAGTATCATAAAATGATAAAGAGGCTTACAAAGTAGCGACTTTGGAATATTAAGTTCTGTTCATTGTAAAACAAACCATGGCTAACAGTGAACAAAATATTGCGAGCGACGAACGAAGGGATTCTTACACACTGCAACGCAACTTTCAATCCTCAATTCGGTAAGAGCAATCAGTGCAATAGTGCTACTGCGATCATTTATTGACACATGCCAGCCTGAATGCACAGCACTACCTCTGGAAAGATGCAGTCGGATACAATATTCACCCACGGATTCCTGTTCTTGACTGCCCTACTTTCAAAATCGCCGACATAGGCACTGGTACAGCGTAAGCCAATCAATGAGTCCCGGCCGCTTGCACATGAATAACCGATCTCAGGATATGGGTGACAGATGTGAAGCGCGAATATCCTCGGGTTCAAGTCGACGGCTTTGACTTAAATCTGAAACAAGCCCCTGCTGTGAAATGGATGCCGCACGGAACGTCACTCATTACCTGCGATGCTAGGAAGCCCCCAGATCCTAGGTTTCAACATCAGTACGACATTGTTAACATTCGTCTATTTCTCGCTGTCGTGGAGAACAATGATCCTTCAATAATCCTAGATCATGCTTTAAGACTGTTGAGTAAGACTGAACAAATTGGGCTCCAATGACTCATATCATATGCTGACAGGTGGTTACAGAGCCTGGAGGCTGGATTCAGTGGAGCGAGCACGTCATGAGTGACATCTCATGCAAATCCGCTCAAGCTGATACGATACCTCCGCATTGCGCCATGGAGGAGCTGGCACAGTTCCTCCAACGTACTAATCTCGGACGGTCAGTCGAGCTTCCGTGTTACACGTGTTGTCTATAAATTTTCTCTAATGTTATTATCTAGCTGGGTGCCAGAACTACCGAAACTTTTCGCCGAAAGAAACTTTACGGAAGCTGAAATGTACAAGTACCCTATACTTCCGCATACTCGACTGTTTTGGACACAAATGCAGTTCAACTCTACTATGGATTACACTTTTATGGCCCTTGATAATGATACGTCCGACTCAGCCGGCCCCCAAGCGCGTGAGATGATCGCTCGAGCAGTGGAAGAAACGCAACGTGGAATTGCTCTCGACTTTATACCAACTACTACCGTTGCCCAGCTTCCATTGACGTGGGGTGAGGGTGGAGGTAGAAGCTCATATCGCTTGTAGCTATCTTTGATATATCCAAACATCTTTAGACAGTATACTGACACTAATCATCGGTGAACTTTCGAAAGTTGCTCCCCACTGAGTATGTCACATGTTGTACACCCACTAGCTGTATACCCATACAATCGGACGAAGACAACTTTGTTCTACTTGGGCAGGTACTTGCTAGTGACATGTGAACCTTTGGCCACTATCTCTTTACCCATACATCTCAATTGTCACCACTTTACAGTTGTGTTATGGTTAGGTTGTCTACGACATCCTTGATGATTCCGGCCAACGTGTTCTTCCGACTCAGCCATGCGCTATGGCTACTGTCCAGTTTGATGAGACTCCATGGGTGCTTAGCTCCGTTCTGCGCAGCACTGAACATCTGTTCTTGGAGCTCAGGATATACGCCCTGGTCTTTGGTACACATGACGTAGGTGCATGGCACCTCCTCCCATGGAGAGTATTGAGCATTGGACGCAAAGGTGGCTGCAGTGTGAGGTTTCATGGCGTCAGTCCACGTCTTTGACTTCTCTGGTGACACATCATTGTAAAATGTGTTATGTGGATCGATAATGTCTAGGTATGCCTCATTCTCCTGCACTCGGTAAGTTTAAATCATGCATACTATGCCATTGACAGAGATGGCGCGTCAACCTACTTCGTTTGGCTTGAGATATGGGGGCGGTGAGGGAAAGACCCCAAGGAGATTTTCGCCTTTCGGTGCGATAAAAGCACTAACGTATATGGCTGCAACGACGCCGCCTTGAGTACTGCCATTCTCGCCATTTTTGACAAGACCTTCGATGGCATCACTACCAGCCAGTCCGCCGTAGGAATGCATGACGATAATGACATCCTTCCCTTCCTCGACAATGTCCTTGATCTTTTCATGGAGAGCTTGGCTATCCTCAATGTGAGAGCCGAGAGGCGTATCGCGAATGCCTACGCTTAGTAATGACAGCGATACAGACTCAATCCCATCAGCACGCAGTACCTCTGCCACTCCATTCCAACATTTGTAATTGTGCCATGCACCGTGTATGAAGACAATTGTTGGCTTGCGCATCATGTTTAGCTGGTACGAAGACTGAGCAAGTGAGTATTGGTGGTGTTGCGGGGAGCGCGTCCGTATGTAGCGTTATGAGAAATGTCACTCGACGTGCGCAAAGCTTGTAGTTCTATACCAAACTAGGATGAAGCGTGTCACCTTTGCGCTCTCCGTCACGAAATTCTTACTTCTATAAATAGGGGGCCGGCAGCCAAGCCAGTGACATGGTGTTGTACTTTGTGGTGAGGTCCATGCTTGCTCTAGTCTCTAGAAAGCTCCTAGAAGCGTCACAGTTAGTTTAGCGACATGAATGAATGAATCCTTCCTCGCAGTCGGTGGCTCCTGTTGGCTCATGCAATGGATGGCGTGACCATATCTAGACTCCTTCACTGGCGTCGGAATGTTGACTGTCTAGTGGCAGGAGTTTGACACGTTTTGCTTAGCCACCAGTAAGTATTATTTTGGATGGATCTCCTGTCGTTTTTCCAGATTCTAACGAGCTTGGCGTTTTCCGTTTTCACGCATGTTCTAAAGTTCTTAACCCTCCATTCCATACTTATTCTACCTCTATACCCCGACATAAGAGTCTATATATTATTACTAATTATAGACTTATAGAATATAATAAAGTAATAAAACTCTACGTAATTTTCAAACCTTTTTAGTCTAAATCTAGTTTATAATACGAGGGTTTAATTCGTTTTAAAAAGAAAGAAAATAACGAGCAGGTTTTCGTTCTAGATATTTTAGAAAGTCTACTCTATATCCTTATACACTCTAGAAAGAAGAAAAAATCTATAGGAAGGGTAAAGGTATATCTACTTATCTGTTATGTCTACTTGAAAATATTATTATATACTTATATATAGATACATAACTAGAAAGAGCTCTACATAGGAATGGGGGGTACGAATACGCCTGCACAAGTGCCAGGCTCATTAGGTTTTAGGAAAACAACCAATATTCATGCCTTCACAGCGTCAAACCTCCTACCCATTAAAGACTAGATGGTGGAGTAACACCAGACGTCTTAGCGTAACTTGAATGAAGCATGCACTACAGAGAAGTGGGTCTGTGGAGACAGATCAGCATTACAGGATGAGTACCGACAAGGGCATGGCAATGTCACTTGCGCCAAAATTCCAATCGCCGCTGCGGTACCGCTTGTCTCAAAATGGAAAGTCAAGGTCGTGCACTGGCTAGTCAAAGATGACATCGGTCGGTTATTTGTCTTGGAAACAGCTTGGCTTATGCCTCATGACACTACATGGCTTCAGATGTTGACGTAGGATCGAACGTTAGTCTCAACTCCCAGAAACAATTGTGAAATCAGACAAGATTGAGAGGCCTATCTATCGCGAGACTTAGCATGCCGCTCTTACTATACATGCGTCCCGATTCTGTCATTGAGCCAGTAGTGTGTATCAATTGATATTCTATTCAAAATAACTCGTGTGGTCACTATGGGACGCGCCGAACATAGTTTCAATGCATGCATGGGCCAATCAGGTTTTTTTTCGTTGACCTAACGGGAAACAGGGAGAAACATACCTGACACTTGACATGAGATGTGCGCTGCAGGAGATAAGCCCTCACTTCTAGGAAACCCCATGGATAGATCAAACATTCCAATTTTATAAGTATGCTTGATTTAGTCTTTAATATGTGCCCTCACTCTACGCCATTTAGACTTTGGACTATTGGATTTTCTTTCTATCTGCTAGCTACCTATCGATTACTACTGGTATGGATCAGTACGAGGATGCCTCACTGAAGACCCTCGGGAGTATCATCCCCTTCGCAATACTAGCTTTCATCGCCGTCATCCTCCGTTTTTATGCGCGACGACTTGTGCGCGCCGAATGGGCTAGGGATGATTGGACTTCTCTACTTGCGCTGTTTCCAACTCTCGGTTGCTTTATTCTGTCCTGTCTCAGTATGTGCAAATGTGTTCTTCGTCTGTGCGCTATTCTAATCAACAATTCTCGATAGTGGTCAAATATGGCTCCGGAAAGCACGTTCGTGTTGTATCACCAGCAAATTTTGAGCCGTATCTACAATGCCTCTTTGCCTACGAGCTAATATACGCACACGCTATACTATTCATTAAGACATCAGTATTAATGCTATACACGCGGATATTCTCAACACGTAAATTCAAGCTCGTCGTAATGGTCGTACAGGCTGTCATAGTAGCCTGGTACCTAGCCGTTGTCTTCGTCTCAATCTTCTCATGCAATCCAACTCGGGGCTTTTGGGACAAGACTCTGGTACCTCCGGCCAAGTGTGTCAGCTCAAAGAAGTTCTTTGTTGGAAATGCGATTCCAAATATCGTAACAGATGTCGTAATCCTAGCGCTTCCAATTAACACCGTATTCGGTCTTCAACTTCGAACAACGCAGAAACTCTCTATATGCTTTACATTCCTACTTGGTATCTTGTAAGTCGACTTCTTACATAAACCGAACAAGCTGACATTTATCTGCTAGCGTTACTGTGTCTAGCGCGGTTCGTCTCGTCGCGCAGTTCCGAGTGGACGAACCGGACTTCACTTGGGCCATGAACGATACAGTAATTTGGACGTCGATCGAGCCTTCCTTGGGACTCATCTGTGCTTGTCTTCCTACAATGAGACCATTATTGAATAGCTTCACCCAAGCAAGCGAGAAACGCTCGCGTCGAACCACTTCTTATGCCTTGTCTGAACGTTCTAACCCTCCCCAGGGCTCGATAACAAGGAATGGCCGTGGAACATGGCCTCTTCAAACCACAGAATCTAGGTCTGATTTAGGTCGATCGGAAACTAGGAGTAAGATTGTTGTAGATACCCGAATCGATATTGAGAGTAGTACGGAGGATACCAGGCAAATACTTCATAGAGTTGTTTAGGTTGCTTTAAATTCTTTGCTAACACTGCCAGAGAAAAACATTGTATATCACGATGACTGTACTTAGTTAGTGTTTCTATATTATATAACCTTTCGACGAAGTCACTAGAGGCTACTGGACTTATATCATACTTTCCTTGTCTCTATGGGATGGGATGCCTAAGATTTCCTATAATGCATAAATGTCTTATGAAGTGATAGATAAGGTCCCGAACTAGGGATTCCAGGCCAGTATGTGAAGCGCTATAAAGACATACGATTCATTGGTACAGTGCTTTCTACTATGTAAGTGTACAGTACATTGTGAATATAATAGGTCCAGTTCCTACCTTAGCTCTTAGTAGTTAGAGGATAGTATATGGTCGTTTTAGAAACCAAAAAGCTGATTAGATGATTCGCAGTAACAGGGCTTAGAGATAGCGTATGTCTTTCGTTTTTAGGCCAGGACTATAAGCATGGGCCCTATTTACCCGGGTAGGGTATGTGGCATAGACAAGGGTTAGCGGACGCCGAGTATTTTGGACATCAACCAATCAAGATGATGCTGACAGGGAAATCTAAAGACTTTGTTTCGTATTTAGCAAGGTCGGTCATTCCTAGTTTTCTCTCGGTCCCTCGACTCATTCGAAATTTCTCGCGATAAATACTGTTCTATAGATCATACAATTGATCCGCCGCATACACTCATCATGTCACGCAGGGGACCAGACACTGTTAGCCTTGATGTTCCTTCTTTATGTTGCGATCTCAAGTCCGCAGTAATGCAATTGCAAGGAAGTAGTCCGATTCAAGGTACGGAAGAGCTTCTATGCGCTGCTAAGCAGCTCGTGGCAGTACTCGAGCAGCCATTCGACCGCATGGCTCGTTTGGCGAAAGCGGTACGTAGTCGATCAAAGTTGCATGGAATCTTCCACGCACAATCAGAAATAAGCTCACGTTAGTGTTTGAAGCCGGTAGGTCATGCGGTACTACGAACTGCTATAAATATCGGTCTATTTGAGCAATTTTATGCCGGAATCAACCATGCGGAAGGATTGGCGGCTCGGTGTGGTGTTGAGAAGACCCTTCTCGGTACATAATCTCCTACCACCCTTTAGAAATTGCTGACGGTGGTAGTGAGACTGATGAATGTTCTTGTGTCAGAAGGAGTCTTCGAACAATACGGACCACAGCAGTACAAATCTACCTTGAGCTCTCAGCATATGACATTGCCTGGATTCCGTGCGGTGGTCAGGGGTCTGTATGTCTATCTTAATACTTTCACATGTAACAAAGCTAATCGTAAACTTGAAGTGCGGAAACCGCTGATATCATGCCACACCTTCCGGATTATTTAGCATCGATTCAGTACAGAAATCCCAGTGAAAATAAACCCGGACTCTTTGGGTTCGCCAAACGATCAGAGCTGAGCATGTTCGAGTGGTTGGAACAAAATCCCGAAAAGCTCCAGGTTTTTCAAGAATTTCAAAGTGCAAAAGAGGAGATGTTAGACACGAGCTTCGAATCTCTGCTCCGGGAGCTCATAGAATCAACGCCCCCGGTAAAAAAACTTAGCAGCGATGAAGAGTCTTTCCAGACAGACACGGTCTTGCTATGTGACGTTGGGGGTGGCAGAGGGACAGCTCTACGTAGTGTATCTACGTCAATCCCGAAACTTTCGACATTCGGCAGAACCATAACACAAGACTTGAGAAGCGTTGTTGAGAGCATAGAGCCATGCCCAGAGTGGGAAGCCATGCCCTACGACTTTTTCGAACCTCAACCAGTGAAAGGTATGTTTGAGGGCAAATGGCTTTGACTTAACGCTTACATTAAAGTAAGGCGCATACATTTACATGCTTCGAGATGTGCTACACAATTGGTCCGACACAGCTTGTCTGTCCATCCTCAGCAACATCATCGAGGCAATGGGGCCAAAGTCGCAACTATTAATTCTAGATGCGGTACTACCGGAGACTTGCGCACCTCAATTCATGACATACATCGATATTCAGATGATGCAGTTTGGCGGAATGGAACGTACTGAGTCACACTGGAGGCATTTACTTTTTCAAGTCGGGTTGGAAGTAGAAAGTATTCAGGTAAGGAATACTACAGGGCTGGAGTCGATGATAAGGGTCAAAAAGATTTAGATCGTTCTGCTGGTTGCATTACCTGTCCGGGAGTTGATAAGTCGCTTCAAAGAGACCCTATGAAACAAGGAATACGATAGGACAGGTATGAAAGGATAGCACAAGAGTACACGAGAGATGATAGTCATGATCACTTGTTCGTCAAATAAAGAGGTGCTATTGCAAGACCAAGTAGAGCTCAGATCATAAGCAGGTCAGCAACATTTTAGGTGTAGAATAAGCATGTACCGGGGAAGGCTTCATGTAGTAAAGAGTCTCTCGAAAGATAACGTAGATCTTATACTATATAGAGGAAAACCGTGGAACTCACTAGTATACTGTACTTCACAGAAGTATGCCGTATCAACATTCTCCATTATAGCACGGCACAGCACTCTTAGAAAGCGTCTAAATTCATTATGTTGCATACACTCTTATCTTATCCTGTAGTACGATGCTATATATCCTCTGGGATACTTTGCGAAGGCGATTGCAGAGACGTTCTACCTCACTCACAAAGCTCCCTGTTGACTGCATTCGGGAGTATTAACCACGCTTTGGGAACCAAATCTAGGACATCAGAGTTCATCGAACTGAACTAAATGCAAACATGATCCAAGCAGGATGCGAGGCAACAGCTATTAAAATACTGTTAAGTGACCAAATTGGGGGACCACGACCCGAGGAAATGACGTAAAGCAAAGATGACCAAAATGAATGAAACGGTTTTATAAAGACGAGCCGGGGTATTCTTGGCAGTATAAGAAATACTGCAATAAAGTGAGGACGATCACCCTGCCGCTTGTTTGCGAACTATTAGTTCATTGACCCGACGAGCGGAACGACCTGCCCGCTCTGAAACCCCACGTCTAGATGCTGCGCCATGCTTACATGCAACATAGAACTCCGTGTAACGGAACACCAGCCTATCCATAGTGCCTCACCTCTACCGGTCTTTCACGATCGCTCATAGACGAGAACTTGGTCGTTCTCCCGTGGTGAGTTGAATCCGAATACGAAATCACGCACAGGACACTACCCCGAGATATCAAATATTTTCAGTAATCTAGAATGAACGCGATGTACCAGGAAGCAAAGAAATCGATGACTGAAGTGTGGCACATAATGCTGTTTACAGATGGATACGTTCCGGCAGGTGAGTCTGTGCGTATCCCTTGCAACCAAAAACTTCTGGACAGCTGTCTCGGTACTCCGCTTTCATACCGCCGGTACAGCAGCAAAGACTGGGCCATGGTTACATCTGGTACTAGTCTGGAGAAGTTCGCCTCCGCTATTCGGGACTTTCATATGTGCAAGTAGTAATCGACGGTCTAGTAAGACGGTCTTGAGCTTCTGTTCGACACTGTCTAAGCTATCATATGTACGAAAATATCCATTAATGAGAGTTCAAATCACGTAGAGTACTATAGTCAAGGTATGATGTGTTATATACACCGGTCCAGGGAGTGCTGCATACTGATCACAATCCGAAAGCGGAGCAAGGGTTTCTCCAGGGCCTGGCAAACGATTCAGTGGCAATTTCCACCTTCTTTTAGCAGATCTGCCTCTCTGCGAGCAAAGGGCTGATCGTATTATATAGAGAATAGATGCACACTATACATATCCATACTTCATAGCATAGTTAACTCATACCAAGCCCCCGAACAACTTAAGTTGGATCTATTAGAGTTTATAGGCTCACCAATCTACAAACGAAATATGGAGACTAATAGCACTCCGGTCAGAGTGGTATCGCCGCCACCATTTGTCAGCCGAGAATTGTTCATGGTTGGTGCTCCAGAACTATGTTAAACTGAACTAAGACGTACCAGAGCTTCTCATGGGGTGGCACAGCGATGTGTACAGTCGCAGTGATCTGTCGGCTCATTGTACGGTGGTCGTCGTGGCGAAAATTGATGATCGACGACGTCTTCGTAGTAATCGCGTGGTTCCTACTTCTAGGCAGTGCTATCATCTGGCAACTTTGTCATGATGGAATGTTTAGACTCATTCTAGTCTCGAGTGGTGTCGAACCAGAGCTTGCACGGGCACCAGGATTTGTTGCTTCTGCCGAGTACTTCTTACGCGGTAGTGCGGTATTTCTTATATTTCTGTACACGGGCTTGTGGTCGATCAAGATCTCGTTTCTACTGTTCTTTCGCCAGCTTGGTTTGAGGATAAGGTACTACCAGATTTTCTGGTGGGCTATCACAGCTCTAACAATCGCTACATGGACCGTCTGTATTGGGACAATACAATTTGAGTGCTTGTTAAAATCACTGGTCGAGATCACTGGACATTGCAATGACCCTGGAGGCACGGCTATCCACTGGCAGAAAGCAACTTTTGCTACTAACTGCACTTTCGATGTCGTCACTGACGCCCTTAGTAAGATCTCTTTACTATGCTTCTTTTGATTTCTATTCACTAATCGATTACTTAGTTACAATGCTTCCAATCAGTCTTATCTGGAACGTCAAGATAAATCTAAGAAAGAAGTTTATTCTTGCAGGTCTCTTTTCTCTTGTCGTGGTCACGGTTACCATTGCCATAGTACGAATCGCCATGGTCTACGGAGGATCGCACATCAGCACTCGCGACCAACCAGAGGTTACTTGGCTCTACTTCTGGTCCATGATAGAGTTCTGTGTCGGTAGGTTGAGGTTCAATGAATTATTATAGCAAAACAGCGCACGTTGACACTGAGCAGCACTATTTGTTGTATGCATTGGATCCTTTAGGACGTTGTTTTCAGCTGATACAAAGCGCAAAGCGAATATCGGCCAAGTCGGGCGTATAGTGCACCAGGGCATAGATGGAATAGGGCAGATTACTACAGTAACTGGTGCCCGCTTACTACTACGACGGGGTGCAATAGTTGACGAGTCCTATGACCTTGATACACTTGAGCCTTTCACGCCGTTAAGTTCCGAAACATCATGTATATAGATAATAAGCTATACTTAGCTAGAAATCCGCTATTAAACGTTATAAGAATCAACAAAGAATCGTAGTCTAGTACGATGATAGAATACTATCAAACTAAGAATAGATGGATGGAATTTAGATATCTTACTATCTATAGAGTTTACTCCTTAGAAGAAGAAACTAGTTTATATAATCTATTTATATAGAGTAGATCTAGTACACCTAGGAAATATATTATCTATTAGTTATGTAATACTTCAATATATATAGAAATAGTATATAGTATACTATACTAGTAGTCTTACTAGTAGAGTTATATAGTATTTAGACCGGATATTAATACTACTTAGTTTTTAGAATATATACTATAATAGATATTAATAGACTACCTTAATCTAGAATAATATTAGAGATAGCTAGATTTAAAGATAATACTATGTTCTATAATACTATTTTTTCTATAAATATATTAGATTAGATATACTAAGTAAGATAGAATAGATATCTTATTATATATATATCTCTAGAGAGAGACTATTATTACTATGCTTATAGATACTAAATGTTTTTTATAAAATATGTATATATTTTACTAGAGATAGTAAAAGTATAGGGTTAAGCCATTGTCGCGTAGTCTCGTGACACGCAAGTCTCATATTGACTTCGACTCTCTGCAGCGCTACAAGTGCCTGTTAGACCGGGCAGACGCCGTCCCGAGGAACACGAGTTACTTTACATAACCTCCAATGGCTCTGACGCCGGAATAGAGTCAAGCAAAGATTGCACTGTATTTGACGACCTTGATATACCATCGATGAAGCACACGCCGTGGTATCCATCCGAGTGCACGATTACTACGGCGTGTGCTTCACGAGATCCGCGCAAGGTTGAGAGGCTTCGCGTTAGTCCGCGGCGCCTATTATCCATCTATGCCAGGCCTTTTATAGTCGACGCTCTCGAAATTGCTTTTAAATAAGGTTGAAATAGATCTTCTTCCAGGCCCGTGGACATAGATATAATTATCAATCTTCTAATCTTGTATCTGGTCGAAAACTCTGTCCTCCATCTACATTTTCAGTCTTCTTAAAACAATTTTCTTAACACTCTTACTTTGTGTCGCACGCCGTCCTTGAAGCTACTACCCAATTGCCACATTCTACGCTAGGTTACTATAGTCAAGTAAGTCATGTCATTCATTATCGAAAGGATGGCTAATTAAGCAATTGCAGAAATGGCAACGTACACACTCTCTATTGTGGTTTACGGGGCAGGCGACGATCCCAAAAACCGGTCCCATTGGTCGCTTGTGTTTCATAGTGCTGGAGCAGACAGAGGCAATCTCTTGCAGGTCTCACTTATAGATCGTGACCGCCTTTGGTACCAATTCGATCAACGCGACGACGTCACCATTCTTAGTCAAAGCGCCGAGGGCCGTTTTCAGATCGCCACTATTCCTGCGAACCGATATGCGCAAGCTAGCAAGGTTATTTGCAATGAGCCTCCCCCGAGGAATGGTAAAGACCGATGTCAAGATTGGACGCTGAATTGCATAGTTGGTCTTGAAGCTGACGAATTGATCCCTGACGGGACTTCTGCGTGGGTTGACGGACTTGTGGGAAAGTCGGCTACGGAACTGGCACAGGCATTAGGAGGACGATGGATTGCCAATAGGAGATAGAGGGAATATGTCTTGCGCAGAAAGGGACGCTGCTTAGAGTCATTTAAAATCCGCTGTACACTACAAGCTCCCTGTCAAGCTCCTCTAGAATTGAATAAACTTTCACGTCAGTTTCCCCAGCGAAGATAGAATCAATAGTCGCTTTCCATTCTGGGTTTCTTGCTCTTGATCGCGCTTCGTAATACTCTCTGTCCTTAATACTATATCCTGCAGATCCCCAATCGAGAATACCTGAGATTTTCCCATCCTTTACTAGAATATTGTCACGGTGAAGGTCACCATGAGTGAAAACAATATCAGGGTCTTGAAGGGTCTCGATGTTTTGTAGCAAAGACTCGTCTCTTGTGTCAAAGGTCTCAGGTGGCCTTGACATTTCCAAGGCACTTTTGAGGCCGGCGTTATATTCGACTCGGGTTTTATACGGGCCGTAACATGATTTAGATTTCTTGCGCATAGGGGAGTGCTTAAAGAAGATATCTTGGCATGGTTGGTAACCTAGAGCACCATAATAATCGCCTCGAAGCGTTCTCCATTCTTGAAGGTAACCTCGGAGCTCTTGGATTAGAGAATCCTTAGCCTCTAGCGATAGATTTGGCCACACGTCTGCTAGAGGTTCCCCTTCTAGTTGCGACATCAATATGTACCCAGAATCTCCTATTTCGCCGACCTGGTCGACTCTGGCCACAGGTGCGGACGTTTGTGAAGCCACGAGAAGCATCGCTTCCGCTTCCGAGCGCGTGATGCCATAACCAATTTTCAATATCTGTTTCGTATCGGGAAATGATATAATTCTAGGACCGATTTTTTTCGGGCATATGTCTCTCGCATTATCAGGTAGTAAGATCTCATTTGCGAAAAGTAGAGCCAGGCTAAGATAATGTCAGCTTAGGGACAATATGGAATTAAGATTATACTTGTGTGGAAGAGCCTCTTCTAGCGGTCTCGTATCATATGTGTTCATGGTTATAGTTACGACAAATGTAGCTGGGCAAAGAAGGTGCGTGGATAGGCACGGCCGACTTTCTCGTGCCGAGCGTTTCTTAAGCGTCTAGTGTAAAGATCCGTTAGTAACTTTTCTAGTATAACTCTTGGCACGTGTCGTGCGTATAACACACATAGTTTTTTACTAATTTTTTAAAACATATACCCTCCCTAGTAACTCTAGTTTTAAGACTCTAGAATATATTAGAAGATCTTATATATTAGAGTAAATTTATAGTAGTATAGCTAGATAGAATAATAGAGTATATTCTATTATAGAATAAATTACTACTAAACTCTTTTAGTAGTAATTAAAGAGTATATATATATAAAGAGATACTAATCTATCTAGTATATAACCATTTACTATCTATTATACTATCTTCTAACTAAGTTACTAGCTATAATATATATAGATCTAGTCTCTATCTAATACTAAGTTCTACTATACTATATAATATAAAATATTAAGTATATCTATAGTACTTCTTATAAACCTTATATATATATTATAGACTAAAAAAAACTTCTTATACCCTAATAGACTAAACTAGTTAATTTAGGGTAAAATAGCGATTTACATATATTAAACGATAGAGTATACCGAGTATAATAATCTCCGATATACATGTATATATATAGTATATAATACGCGACGATACTAACGTATAGAGATACTATATATATACGCTTAAAGACTCTTCGATAATACGAGTATAGACTATATCTAATAAACGCCGACACGCCGACCCCCTTTTATTAGTTAAGGGCTACCCTTAACTAATAACCATAGCGGCCTTAGGTATTATAATACCCCGGTATACGCCGGATATACCCCTACTAGTACGGTAGAAACGGCTATATAGCGATATTAATATAGATAGCTAGATACCTATCTAAAATATAGGAACTAACTAAGGGTATAAAGTACTATAGATAACCTAGACTAAGGGGACCCTAAGAGGGGAGACCCTCCTAGATAAAATTAAATACTAGGTAATATATATAGAGAGGGACGCTAAGGAGGGAAAGAAGACCCTCCTTTATATATTCTAGGACCTTATCTAGAACCTAAGAGGAATCATAGAGAAAGAAAGGAAGTCGCCACGAGAGAAACCTAGTAGTAGGCTCGACTAAATAGAAGCTAGCCTATAGAGAATCTAGGAAGAGCTATTCTAAGGTAAGCGCCCTAATATATAGGCTTAGATTATAGTAATACCCGGAGCTACCGTACTAAGGACTACTAGGACTATAGATAGAGTATATAGTATATATATCGTAATCTAGGATAAGAACACGCTAGCGTAGGTCTAATAGGCATCCCTAAAGGAAATTATAAATAAGATTAATAAATAGAAAGGAATGTAGTCGAGTGTTGTGGCTACTAAAGTTACGCTAGATAGAGTAGTACTTACTACTATAACGAATACTACGTAGTAAAATATCTTACGAGATCCGAACGTAATAGATAGTATCTTCCCCGGCGCGTCTATTAGGGTAGCTATATACCCGATTATAGTACACGTAGTACCTATACGGGGATAGGCTATTAGAGCGGAGGATATTACGCGTATAGAATAATCTAACGCGCGAAAATACCCAGGGATTAAGATCGTAAAAGCGTGGTAGAAGAATCTATAGGCGATTAAGACGACGGCGAAAAAATACTCTACTATAATTATAGAGCTCCGAGACCCCACCCTTATATAATATATTATATAGAAGGGATTCCTAATAGAAGGAGAGCTCCTTATAGCCGAGCCATAGAATAGAGTATAGGTAATAATATAGTACTTTAACTATTAAGGGTATAGATATACTATATAAAGGTACTTATAGAAGACTAAGTGCGGATAGTACTATAGGGACCACGCTATCTAGGAGTGCCCTTATAAACCGCGAGGAGACGGACTAAGAAATAGGAATATAGTATAGTATTTAAACTACGATGGGAAACACCTATTATAGTTATTAACGTATATAAAATGTAAATAGATTATAGAATATATTCGTACGATAAAAGCGAGAGGCGCGAGATAGTTATAGAATATAATACCTACCACGAGCCCTTCCTTTATAACACCCCTAACTTTCCCTCTAGAAGGTAGTTAGGCGGGATAGTAGACTATCCCGAAGACGATAGGACGACTAAAAGGCATAGTTAAAGCCGCTACCGCGCGAGGATAGTCGCGCCTCCGAGGAATAAGTATATAGATATATATACTCTCTAGTACCTAATAAGGGACTAGAATATACTCTAAATTATATAGGTAAACGTATAATATAAAAGAGAGAACTAGGAGACGCTCCTTAAAGAGACCGGGGCTATAATACTCGCCATCTAGAAACCCTATAAACACTACTAGACGAGTAAACCAACCATATACCCCGGATACTATACTATATACCCTCTAGGACTAGAAAGATAAGTCCTCTTCTATATTCATAGATTAATACTACTCTTATTATGGTCGTATACTAAGCGTAATAACCTTAGAATAACACTACACCTATAAATAGATATAGGCCCCCTATATATATATAATATATATAACTAATAACGTATACTTATACTAGACGAGATGCTTAAGGGTACTACGGAACCAGGGTAATATATCCTCCTAGGAGACTTTAACCTCTACTACTAATAGTAGGGAGGCCTAGCCGTAGTTAGAGAAGAACTTAGAGTAAGGGAACTACGTACCCGCTACCACGACTTTCTATACCTACTTATATCTATAGAATAAGTTATATAGAAAAAATATAAATAGAACGAAGACGGGTCTATGCTTAACCTTACCTTCGCCACGGAGTATATTAGTTACCAGATCTAATACTACCGCCTAGGCTAGGTATAGACGGATTCCGACTATAAATATATAGAAACCGTAATAAACGTATATACCCCGAATAAATAATAGGGATAATAGATATAGAAGGACACTAACTAGGAAAAGTACCTAAAGGACCTAGAATCGGCGATTCTAGATCCCTCTATAGTCGATATATCTAACGACCTAGCCATAGACTAGGCCATATAGACACTCCTATAAATATACTAGAATACGAGAAATAAACACGTACTATACTAAATATACCGGCCCCTAGAAGTAAAGGGGATTCCTTAAGTATGGGAAAGTAGATAAGACGCCTAAAGGCTATATAGACGCGTACACCGTATAAGAATACCCGAGTTATAGAAAGAATAGAAGGAAGTAATATAATAACGCGATAAAGTCCTCTATAACGAAAGGCGTAAATAGTAGCGTATAATTACTAGTTAATAGACACGATACGTAATAGGGCTATAGTATATAGTAAAATAGGCCAAGGGCGTAGATACTCCGATACCCCTACTACTTATACCTCCCCTAATATATTAGGGGAGAATATACTCCACGGGCCTTAAGAAAACTAAGGCTCTATAGAAGGCTATATTCCCTCTCCCGGAACTAGTAGACCTATTAGACGTTCACGGCGCTAAATATCTATACGCGGTAGATATCCCCGAAGAAGTTACGGAGGAGGATATACTTAATATTATTAAGATACTTCTAAATAATAAAGTACCTAGACTAGATAGAATTCTAAATTAATATCTAAAAAGCACTATAAAAGCGACCCTACCGCTTATTACTCGTATATTCTAAGCATACGTCACGTAGGGGTACCACCCCTAGAGCTTCCGAGTCGTCTATACTATTATACTTCCGAAACTAGGAAAGAGCCCTAACTCTCTAAAGGGATAGAGACTAATCGCCCTTCTCTTCTATCTAGGTAAGATACTAGAGGCTATAATAGTAAAGAAGATAAGTACCGCGGTATAGGAATATAATCTCCTCCCTCTAAACCAGAAGGTAAAGATAGATAGCTCCCTAATAATAGCTATCTAATATATTATTAAAGTCGTCTAGGCCGTATAGAAATAGGGACGGGTAGTATCGCTTCTTTCCCTTAATATAGCCGGAGCGTTTAATAAGGTAAACTATATAAGACTTATTTATAACCTCCGGATGAGACGAATACTAGAATAGATTATACGCTTTATATAGTTATTCCTTATAGGAAGAATAACTTAGATATATATTTCTAGGTACTAGAGCGAATATAAAGAGACGGTATACGGCATTCTATAAGGGAGTACTATCTCTCTAATTCTATTTCTCTTCTTTACGGTAGACCTTCTTTAAGAAATAAAGTATATAGAGATAGTTAGATACGCCGATAATATATACCTTCTAGCTATTAATAATAATACTAACCGAACGTATAGATAACTAGAATAGAACTATAAGAGGTATCTCTAGTAGGTAAAACGCTACGGAGTAAAGTTCGCCCCGGAGAAATACTAGCTTATATACTTTATTAATCGTTAAGGGAAATAGGTAACTAGGGAAGGCGAATAACGCCCCCGAATTAACGTATTTAACGAACTACTAGTATAAAGTATACACGTGCTCGGAGTTATACTAGATAGTAAGCTTAAATAGGGACCATAAGTAGTATACGCTGTCTCTAGGGCCCTCTAGATAGAAGCCGCTATATAATAGATTATAGTCTCCACGTAGAGAACCGCCTAGGATAAGGCACGCTAGCTATATATATCTATAGCACGACCCGCCTTTATATATAGACACGAGTGCTAGTATACGGCCCTTATATAGACTAGGCGAATAAAGCTTAAATCTATATAGAATAGTATACTCCGTCTTATATTAGGCGTATATAAAGCTACTAACACGGTACTACTATAACGCGAGATAGACGTTATAAGTATATATAACTTCTACTAGATATAGAGGGTGGTATACTTTACTAAATAATAAGTATAGGAACGTATAGGAAACGTAGAATATACTTTCGCTACGCTACGCGTATAAATTAGTATATATTACCGTGTACTTCTATATATAGGCCGGAATCGAATACGGTATAGATGCTTAATAGAAGCTAACTCTAGCTAAGTAGTATAAGAAGTCC